TTGGACGAGTCGTTTGCAGTTGTCAGGGCAAGTGTTTCGGAAGTGGTTTGCCAGTGCCTCCTTCCTAGAGCAGAGCCCAGCTGGCGAGCGCAGGAGGCAGGGTTTCCATTGCTTCGCGCCCTTTTCAGGCGCGTGCAGTTTTTTGCGCTTACCAGCAACTGCTCCCGACTACTTATAGCATGTGTGCAGTTCTGAGCACACCATTTTAAGGATTCACAAAAATTGGAACAGATCCAGAGAAGGGCAACAAAAATGTTCAGGAGAACAGAAACTGTTTTATGAAGAGAGACTGAAGGAGTTTGGTATGTCCAGCCTTGAGAAAGCCAGCTGAGGGACACTATGATAGCATTCTTCAAACACCCAAAAAGATGTTACATAGAAAAAGATCAAGATTTGTTTCTCTCATACCAGAGTACAAGGTATGGAATAACAGATTCAAGTTACAGGAAGGCATATTTCTACTGAATGTTAAAAACAATTCAAACAGTAAGGGCAGTTTGATAATGGATCTAATTATCCAGAGAAGTAATGGGTTCCTTTTCACTAGATGTGCTCAAATAGAGACTAGACAGCTACCTTTCCTTTATTTTGGATTCTGTACTGCATAGGGGGGGTAGAGATAACCGCCTAAGCAACTCCTTCAAACTCTAGGCTTCTAAGCCATGGTGATCATCATATGGTCAAAGTGCCCATCAAAATTACCTGAAATTATATAAAATGTGTGTCACAAAATATCCTTGAGAATTCAAGCAAAATATCATCAGGTTTGATAGAGGGAGAAAATTCTGCCTATTCTAATTTTTGAACATTTAAAAAACATTTTAATGTAATTGTGGGGGTTGCAGATGCCATCTTACAAGCAACAGATGTCAAATGACAGCCCACAGCCATACTATATATACTACAGGCAGATTGTTCTGAGCTTCCTTCTTTACCTGTCATTCCACAACATTTCTGCAGCTCTATATTAACTTTCTTCCATTTCAAACTCCTTTAATCTTCCTACAATGGAAAGTTAGTGTACTGAAAGAAAGATAGCTTCTCCCCAATGCTGTCATTCTTCCCTTCATCCAAGTTCCCTTTGCCCAAATTCCCTTCATCCTTCACTCCTGATTGGTACAGGAAGAGACTTAAGAGACTCTTAAGATGAACTTTCTCAAAAAATCTAATATACATCTTCACATTTACAATGAATTAGATTTAATTCCCACTAGGAAAATCTAGAATCTTACTGTAAATCATGAGAACCTTTTTGAGACCAAACTGTGGAACATATATTTAAAATCATCTGAGCAAACATCTGCAGCTATTTTCTAAGGATACAACCTATGAGGAATTAAATTAATTGGACTTATTTTGAAAAAGATAACCATAGAATCAGTCTGTATACTTTTTTCAGCATGAAATATTGTTGTAGTGTACAAAAATGATTAAAGCACGTAAAAAGAAATTTTGTTTTCACAATAGTACCTTTACCATGCTGTATCATTCGCATTCCATTTTCAGTTTAATTATTCCCTAGTTCCCATGGTTGGATTACACCTCAAATATGATGCATATTGCAAGTTTACCACTATCAATACATTAAGAAAATACATTGAAATAAATGTCTCTATAGGAGAAAAACACAAATCCTAACCATCTGAATCAAACATTGATTTTTATGAAAAATGCAATACATTATTTTCACATTATTCAATATTGAGAAATTCACCAGCAAGACACTTTAGGATAAACCTAAACTGATTTTCATTCAGGTGTTCGCTGAGCTTGGTTGTTTTCTTGTAGATGTTTTGTTACCCAACTAGGTTAACATCTTCAGCGCTAGAAGGGAATGGGGTTTGCTCTCTGTTTATATACAGCAGCTTGCCTTGTCAGTGTTGGTGGGGGTGTTGTTTTCTCCTTGGTACCCAGAGAGCAAACAGCAAACTCCGCTCCCTTCTAGCACTGAAGATGTTACCTAGTCGGGTAACGAAAAGTCTGCAAGAAAACAACCAAGCTCAATGAACACCAAGGACTCCACAGATTGCATCAAATGTATAAATTTTAAATTATATAACTGCAATTTAGCAACAATTCCTGCTAAAAAAGAGTCTATATACATAGGCACATTACTAAAAAATATTAATAATTTTGTTTGCAGTAAGAAAGGGATGCTGTCAAAAGTTCTAGCAAGTGTTTTTAAAGCAACCAAATCCCTTATACCTTTTGTGCTGTGATGTACAAACTGAGTTATAAGTGACCCCAACTTCTTGCAGAAGTAAAAGAAACAAGAACACCAAGATAACAGATGCACACTGTGCTCATTATAGTCAGCAAAACAGCAACACAGCTGGGCACCAGCCAACTGCACTCCCTCCAGTAATCCAAACAAATCTATCATCAAAGGCTAAGTAATTCTACAGCGCCCCTTTTCCTCCCTTCCTCCATCAAGCCCCTACCACAAACAGGAAGTCTTCCTATCCAGCCGACCTGATCAAGCTAAATGACACTTTGGCAAGCGTGGGAGAGAGGGAGGGGAAAATGGGGGGGAGGATGTCACATGATTGCTAACTCTCCCTTGGACAAACACTTTACCAAGCTTCTCGTCTAGTTTACTAGTAAAAGTCTGCGTGGGAGAAGCAGCGAGCTTGCTCTCGGCGTGCAAAGCGGAAGAGGGATTCCAATGTAGGAGAGTGGCCGAAAATCGAACATCGGTCTTGACTCTACGCCGAACTCCGCATTCGTGGACTATTCTGCTAACGACCCGGCCCTCTCCTACCCTGCCTTCTAGCCAGAGGGCGGAGGAAGGGGCAGGCACACGCGGGATGAGGAAGTAGCGACCTAGGACGACACGCGCAACTGACTCGTGCTCTTCCCGAAGACAAGGAAAGCGAGCCTTTCCCAACTGTTGCAGAACACACGTCCTACCGCTGTTTTCTAAAAAAAAAAAAAAAACAACTGGCTCTGCGAGCGGGGAAGGGACAAGCCACCTGATCTTTGCCGCCGGGCGGGGAGAGCAATGACGCGCTTAGGCATACGTACTCCGAAAGGGCAACCGGGGCTAAGTTTAGGCTGAGGGGTCGCGAGGGAGGAGGAGGGGGAAGGGAAGGCCGCAGGGAGCAGCTCGCCGGCACGGACGGGCGGCCCTCTCAGAGGCGCACGGCCGGCGGAGCGGGGACGGCCGAGGCGGGCCCTCTCACTCACCTTGATGCACTGCGACATTGCAGCCATGCCCGTCGCAGTAAACCAGCGGGTTCTCGGCCCAGCCCCTCTCGTCGGAGCACACGCAGCAGCCGCCGATCATCTCCTTCATGCTATTGGAGAACTCGCCCTCCAGTGACACAGGCAGCAACAACGGCTCGCTAGAGACCATCTAAGGGTTAAAAACACCGTCAGCACGACACCACACACCGCCAGAGAGACCCCCGTGGCCTCCGCCGCCTTCTCCCCCACAGCACTCCGCTTTCAGTCGCTCAGCCACCGCCGCCGCCAGTACCGCCTCCATAACAGGGATGTCGGACCCATGGCCGCTGGAAGCGGCAGTGGTGCTGGCGGCGGCGGCGGCGGCAAGAAGAGAACAGCGATGAAGAAGCTTCCTTGAAGTTCCTCCCGTGCGCCGGCTCGGCCGGGCCACTATCCGTCAGTCTTTCAGCTCAGGCAACAGGAACAGGGCTGAAGTTACGGGCCGCCCTCGCGGCAAGAGTCCTGCGGGCACGCAGCGAGGCAATAAAGCGAGAGAGCAAGGCCCGCTCCACGCAGGCGCACTGCAAACCTTCCTCAGAGAAGGCCCCGCGACGCGCCGGCGGCCGCAGGACCAAAGGCCTCCTCTCTCCGCGGTCTTCTTTTCCTTCTCCTCCCCGCCCTTCCTCCCTCCACGCGAGGGCTCATGGGCCGCCAGTAGAGCGTGAGCGACCTCCGAGTCCTGTGTCGCGCGCGCGATGCCCGCGAGCCTCCCTCTTTTTTGCCGTTTCCAACGGATGCACATTCGGAGCGTGCGCGGGGAGGGGAGAGGAGGGAGGGAGGAATGCAGAGTCGCCCTCCCTCTTGTCTGAGGGAGTCATGCTGTGTGGCGGGACTAGGCCCGGACAAGCAGCATTCATTTTTTTACGTTTCTTGGCTGCCGTACAAAGATGACACCACGCTCTGCTCCCGAGAGACTCGGGGAGGGGGAGGGGGAGGAATGTTGCGCGCGCGCGTGTGTTTTCATTCATCTCACTTCCCCCTTAGGCCGTTGTGATTCTTGGGGCCAACGGAGCTGATGGATTCCTGGCCCTTTGCTCGGTCACACCCGCGCTGCATTTCCCCCCCGTGTGTTTCAGCCTCCTCGCAGTGGGGAGAGCGCTTTGGGCAGCCAAACCTAAGGTTAGGTCAGCTGCTATCATCTAAGACTGGCCCTAGCGGGGTGACCAGCCGCAGCTTTCTATTTTTGTCATCACACGCACCGTGCCCAAAACGCCAGGCTCATATTTCTTATTCTGGAGCCCACTTTAAAAGTTCAAAATAGGCTTAATTGTTCTCACTGGCTTAGTTCTTTACTGACCTAATAATATTTCCCTTAATGGCATAATTTCAGATACCTTTAATGGGAATTGACTGGCACTTTTTTCCCAGGGTCTCAAGATCTGCAAGATTCTGCTTATTTCTAAATCCTCTTATTTCTAAATGCATTTATTTTATGAAGAACAAGTGTCCAATGACTGATTTTATTGTGGCATAAGCTTTCTCTTTCTATTGTGTCCCTTAATTTTAATCATGTCTGCATGACACACTTTCCCAGACTAAGGATGCAACATTAAGGAATTCCAGCAAGATTTTTGTCTTTTTCCCATTCATAATCATCTTAAATGTATTTTGGCTTCATGTGCAGAATTTACCCAATTCCATTTTTTTCTGCACCAAGGAAACTACCTGGATATACATCAATGAAATTACCAAGAACTCAGCTTGACTTGGACACTTTACTTCCTTCAGCTTAATTAATACATTTATATTTCTTAAATTCACAGGACACAATTACATTTATTACTTTCACCCTGGCCTCACTATATCACAGCGTACCAACATGCATTTAAACTGGTACTAAAAAAAAAAAAGAGAAAAGCCAATTAATCTGCCTCAGTCTGTTAGACACAACCTGACTTTTCTTGCTATTTAAGGTAATTTGAAAGGACATCTTTCTCAATTTTTAATCAATAGTTGATTTGTTCATATTAAAAAAAAATCAGACAATGTGAGATTAAGAGTAATCAGCAAAGAAAAATCTTCAGTTTTTCAATCCTCTATTTTAAGCACTTATGACTAAAAGAAAGAATTGCAGCTACTCTTAAGACTGAAGTGATTACAGTGGGATGGCAGTGCTATAAATACATATTTGGGAATAAGTCCCATTGAATTTAATGGAACATCAGAATGTGCTCAGTAGCATAACACTGCTGCAACTTTACAACATTCTCACTTCTCTGCTATTTCAAGGTTACTTCTTTTAGCTTCTCTGCTATTTCAAGGCTGCTAATTTTATGCAGAAGATGAAGGGAATAACAAAAAATACCACTGATTTGACTATCACATTAAATGATAAGCAAGACAATTTTCTGCATCACTTGGCAATTTTTGTTTTTCCAAACCTGCCTTATTTACTGGTATTTTAGATACAGTATTAAATAAAGTATTATCCTACAGTATTGCTGTAAATGTATTAGATTGCCCTTTTTCAAGTTGCAAAAGTAATCAACATTACATAAAATTGCAAGTTTTTGAAAAGCTGCTGTATAAAGTAGAGATGTGAAGGCCTCTTCCCCTCCTCCCCCAAATTCATCCATTATCAGAGTCTGCACTTTGCATGTAGGATATTTTGGCTAAAGTTTTGCTGTCCTTGAAAATCTGAAGTGAATTTTTCTAAATACATGAGGAAAGACAAGGAAAGAGGAGCAATGAGTGTCATTTCCTACAGAAGGCTTTACTGAATACTGATTAACATAGCAATTTGTCATCTGAATATTCCCCCATACAATGCATAGCAGAAGTCTAGTTTTAAACTTTACAACGTAATATATACTTTCCTTATAAATCACTTTTGTATATATGCGCCTCAGCATACAGAGCAGGAAGAAAATTCTGTAAATGGAAAATGATACTTAAAACCATACAGCATTCCTTAAAAAATGTCTTATAGCCCTTCAAATAAAATCGTTTAGAAATTAGAAATACACGGAAATATGTTTTGAGAATCATCAATTTTAATAACATTTTAAAAATATTAGATTGCTGGGGCCCTATTAACATCCTTGCATGTTAGCAAGCACATTATGCACACTTACTACAAGGTAAGACCCATTTAACAGAAATTTCTGGGTAAACTATGCATAGGATTGCACTGTCAATTCCATGACTTTGGGGGATTAAATCCATTTACATCTAAATGTTTCCATATGCAGTCTACTCCTGTGCATATTGACTCAGAAGTAAATCCTACTACATTAAGTCCTACAGTATTTTCAAGGAAGTATATATACTACATAGCATTACCTCCTTTATTTATGTGAACAGTAATTCCATAATCCTAATTTCTAGAAAGATATCTGTTATTTAACATCAAGATTGTGGTCCAAATGAGACTGTAAGCTTAAATGCTGTGGCATCTTTTGAGATTAACTGATTTCTCTTTTATTGGTATTTCTTTTCCACAACAAATCCACATATATACTATACGGTTTTTAATTGAGATCAACACAAAAACAATCACTTTGCTACAGAGTAGCCCCAGTGTGACCAGGACAATGTTCTTAAACAAGTCATTCTTTTCTGGAGGGGACTATTTACAAAGACTAATTGCAGAAAAAAATAAGGATAGATAGATGTACAAGAGACCTAAAGAATCTGGGATTTGAGGCACAAAGGGGAGTGAACATCAGGGATAATGATGACTGGGAATTTACAGAATTAATAATACAAAAGAAAAGCAATCTTTGTTCCTGAACAGTGAACATTGCCAAGATAAAAATATACTGTAATCAGTGAACCTAAGGAACATTCTAGGAAATCAGCCTACACATTTTTTTCTAATTGGTAAATAAATTGGAAACATTAGTAAGTTTCATAGATCTTTAAACGCCACAAATCACATTTTTTTGCAAATACAATCAGTTAAATTAAAAACTAGTCCTTACCAAAATGTATAATGTTGTTAACTGGAATATATATCAAGCACTGCAAAAAATTAAAGCTTTTTGTTTTATGTATTCCAAATACATGTCATTGTTAATATACATCAGAGGGACATTTAAGAATCAGTTAAAATACTGGGTATAAATCAAAACACAACATATTATCATTAATAAAATACAGTATTATTTTAAACAAGATGCTATTAATTTTAGTTCTACTGACTGAATGAAAGTAAACTGACCATGATCACTAGTTTATAACTGCAGGAAACTTGATGGCAAGATGTAGGTAAGTCTCTTGGTGGTTTTGTAAAACAATACATTTTGAGGGAACCATTGAAATGCAAAACAGAAAAGAGAAAGGCTTTATTACAATGTAGTACACAGAGCAAGCCATTAACATCCATATGATATGAATGTGCAAACCTTTTACATCCCACTCCTAAGCACAGTACTTGGAAGCTAGATTGACTGAAATCAATGGAAATTACTTTGAAGTTATATTTTTAGGGTTGGAAGTGTTAGATTGTGTTTTTATGGATGCAGTTGCTGTAAATTCTAGTACAATATGGAGGAACGCTTCTAAAAATTCAGAGTTTATATTGATTTGCTCATAAGAATATTAACACTAGAAAAAGTATTGCAATTTTATATTTTGAAATCTGTAAGCAATCATTTTCTTAAAATTAAACTATAGAAAAGCAAAATTTAAAACATGTAAGGCTTAAAATGAAATATGCATATTTTCTGTACTTTATCATTTCAAATGTTAACTTGCGATGCAAATCCTCAAGTTTCAGTGAATTCCATATTACTTCTGAGTAGACATGCATAAGACTGCCCTTAACAGCATAATGTTATATACATAGAAGTATACATCACTGAAAACTTAAATATCTCCATTTACTTTTATTTTCAAATGGAAGTGACTAAATAGTAGGAAAAGTAAACCATTAAGTTCAGTGAAGTAAAATTAAAGGAATATTTGCCTTTTTAATATTTAAAAAACAAGTACCATTAACTAAAATCCTGATTAATTTAGCTAATTTTTGCTTTCTTTGGGGCTTATCTTAAAATAGAATCAACATCACATCCTGATTAATAGACAGCCTGTACTGCATACTTACCTTCCTCACAAATATATGAAGCAATTTTCTTAGTACATATTGTGCATTAATATTAGAAGTAAAACAAATATATAAAATGATTTCTTGAAACACCATTTCTTTTTCACCTTGTACTAAAAACAATGAGAAAGATTAAAGAGAAGAAAAACAGAAAATTTGCATCAGGACTGTTTCTTTTTTGGAGGTGTGGACAGATATTTGCATTAAGGCCCTCCTTAACAACTTTTACCATGATCTTTAGACTAAATCAGTGTAAAAACCTATTCTTATTCTTTACATGGACACCAAGAGCTATGTTACACAAGACATATCATCAAAAATGCTTGTTAAAACATGCTTAAAAGGTATGGATGATCTGTTAGTGTTTATATAAATATATTACATTTTCTTTGCCTCCTTTACGTTTACTGAACTTGAAAATAGTATTAATAGAAATAAAAGTTAATGATGCTTTGTTTAATCCTAGAAAATGAAAATATAATAGCTGGTCTACACAATGTGTGACACTTGTGTTATGACCAGTG